TGTGCAGTTAAGTGGAAACCACACATGTGCAGACCAGCTTATTTGCTTTCGATAGCTGAAAAGTTGGCCTCCCTGAACCAACTAATTTACGCACATTGATTCATGCCAAGAAGTTGTTGAGTATATCATTCTCACTGTCTTTGCTGTTTCGGAACAAGTATCTCCAAGCTTCTTTTTTCAACTGTTGTATTCTGACTTCTACTTCTGTTTATATCCCAACTAACTATAATTTTATTTATTTATTTATTCTATTTATATCCTGCTTTTTTTCCTACAAAGGAACTCAGAGTGACTTATATCATTCTTCTCCTCCTGCTCTCAATCTTATCCCCAGCACAACAGCCCTGTGAGGTAGGTTGGGCTGAGAGTCTGTGACTGGCCCAAAGTCACCCAGCTGGCTGCACAGCTGAGAATCCGGATTGCCTGAGTCCCAGTTCCACACTCTTAACCAGTACAGTGCACTGAATGCACTGAATGAATTACAGTGCAGTGTAATTGAGATTAATTACAGTTTACATTTTACTGTGCCCACTGGGACTGTTATTTTTTTTGGACTATATAAAATTTTTACCCCAGTAAATGGCACAAAAGAACTATCCAAGGAATTCATCCAGAAAGTAGCATTCTCCAGTCTGTGAAACACAGAGTACGCTTTTGGCATGCCAAATTTGTCAGCAATCTACTCCTTAATCTTGAAATAACCGAGCTTTTCTCATAAAGAGAGCCTTGAGGGGGGAAAGTGTGTGAGTGTGTGTGTGTGTGTACACAAGGCCAGGCTACAAGGAGTGCATCTGCATCTTGTGATGCCCATTTCATCCCCTGTCCAGGTAAACTTACGAGACCAAAACATATGAGAAATACATGTGGATCCCACATGGAATGATCACTTCTGGAAAACATGAATAAAAGAATAATAAGATCACACAGTTTTGATTAAGGCAATTGAAAGGTTCCTCCTCTGCTTTCAGTGGATTTGTACATAGGTCTAAGATTAACAGTGGAGGGAGATCTCCTTTTGAACTATTTCAGAAGGTGTCCAGGAAGCTCAAAGCATAAATAAAGGTTGAAGTGGCTTTGCTTTCAAAAGAGACCATGGTAAAGCATAAATAGTAGCTCTTTCAGAGTAATCGGGCCATAAAAAGGTGATGTCAGGTGCGGGAGGGTCACTTAGAATCCCCTTGCTGCCAGAAAATGGTAGAAAGTTAGAAGAGATAACCTCTTGGGATCAATATAATGATTGATTATGTTTATGGTAATAATAAGGGAGATGGTTGGTCTTTATAAGATGGCTGTATGAGATGATTATTCTTTATATAGTTTCCATAGAGATACATCTGGCCCTAGTTGCTGGATTATTTTCTTCCACTCTAAAACATAATAATTGTTCTTTATTATTAGAGACTGTATTAATCACCTAAATAATCCTGTGAGGCCTTGAAGGTGAGGTATAATGAACTGTAATTCCTGATAAGGTAATAGCTGATTCTGAAATAAAACTCAGCTCAAAAACTGAGGGTGAAAAACCCCTCAGTTTTAGATCTCTTAGAAGATTAGTTAATATGCATTCTGAATGTAGAAAATAAGATATTTTCAGGACTGGACATAACATGTAAAGATATCAAAACATATATAGATATCTAATGTGGTACAGTGTGATCAACCTAAATGAGTTGGGCCCATCTAGAAATGGTGATTTTAGTTGTGAGAGCCAGTGCACTGTAGTGATTAATGTGTTGGACTACAAGTCAGGAGACCCAGTCCAAATCCCAACTTGGCCATGCACCTCACTGAATGACTTGGGGCCATCACTGACTCTCAGTCTAACTCACTTCACAGGGTTGTTGTGAGGAAGGGAATCATATACATCTGCTTGGCTTCCTTGGAAGAAAGGGAAGAAATATAAATGTAACAAGTAAAATATGATTTAAAAATGGCAGAGGCTGGAATTATGAAATTATTGTGGACCCTTGTTTTCTAAAGTGCCCCTATTCTCATTTATACTGCATGTGCAAGAGGATGTTATTAATGTGGCCATCAAACATCCTCTGTCTGCCCTGAAAATGTCAAAGATACATAGATAAGGTTCAATAAGGGAGGCTGCGGAAAGTAAAAAGTAGATTTGATATGTATATGATGGTTACACTATCAAGGAAATAAATGGGATATGAGAACTAGCACAATTTCTGGGATGCTTAATATTCAGTGCTATTTGGTGCTTAATTTTCTTGAAGCTGTCATTTCCAGTAAATATTTGGAAGTAATATTACATGTAATTGTGGCAGCAGTACTGAACTATGTAAGGTATTAGAAAGTGCAAGAACACCCTCATTAAATGTGTTGATTTACACAGTAATTCACAGATTTAACTGTAGCTGTTTAAATCTCATCCTTTCAAATGGATAAAAATCAGTAACATGGTTTATGGTAATTGTATATATAATAAATTGCCTACAATTGTTTATCATAATATATCTGGGTTGTATTTTGTCTGAGTTTTGATATTGCATTTAACAAGTTTACTATATTCAGCTGGATTTTTATCATTCTTCCTTTCTCTTCTTCATGGTTTTTTTTTATGATATTCAGTATCTGATACCTTGCTTGACATACAATAAATAAACATATTTTTAAGAGAGAAATGTAAAATGGGTGTCATTGAAGGGAAGTACTTTCTTCAGTTCTATCATTCAAAGTAAGCAAATAGCATTCAATTCTGAACAGATTCCAGTACTTTCTCTGTGATGCTTCATCTTTCCTTTATCCCTGGGGATAAGCAGTGATTGGCTGAGGCCCCTCAAGTGAACCATATCAAACGCCTGATGGTAAAAATAGTAGCACATATATGAACAAGACAGGGCATGAACAGTTTGGGACCAGTATAGGTCAAGAATCTCTTTTGACCAGGGAATGGGTTTTTTCTGTGGTGGCATCCCAACTGTAGAATGCCCGACATTAATATTTAGGCCCAGATTAGAATTATTTTATTTGTCCTGGCATTTCAGCGCATTGGCTGTGTTTTCACACAATGGCAAACCATACCATACATTTTCCATGCAGCATGATTTTTTACCTTGGGTTCTGGGTTTACACACTCATGTGGTTGCCATGTGTGTGTGGTTTCCACACATCTGCCTCTTTCCTCCTAAAGATGACCAGAAACCTATCGGTCCTTGTGGCTGAAAAACAATCCCAGCATGCACTGCTCCTGCCTGTGTTGCCTGCCTCTCCCTCATCATTCAACACACTCCCCTAGGCATGGCCTCGGCCAACTGCTCCTGGGGTTGTTTGTGTACGTTTTCTGCTCAGAAGTAGCAACTGCTCACTCACTAGAATAGCATTTTCCCCATGCTGCCATGCTCTGTGCCAACATGCAAGCCTACTCACCCATACTCACACTTGCTCCTCACTCCAAAATACAGGTAGCTCAGATGGATAACTTAATGTCTAGGCTTGTAATTATGATGTGAGTTCCAGTTGCACGTAGGAACCATCATTTGTCACATCTGTGTACATCAGAACTTCCTTTATCATTGTTATAAGGATCTGAACATTTTCTGCTTCTAGAATCCATCAGCCACCTTCTCATCCATCAACCACAGTGTTAATGTTTACTCACTACTACATCAATGTCAGAGGAGATTGTCACCCTCTGGTTTGTGGCTAATTTGCCTATCACTGCTGCAGTTCTGCCGTGGCTCCCATTTCTGCTATGCCTACACTTCTGGCTTTCATAGTCATTATGTCAGTTTGTTTCTTTATAATAACCCCATTTGCTACACCAACAGTGGTTCCTACTTCCTTCTAAGTACCACCCCAATACTGAGTGTGTCTGTTGTAGTGCCCACACAGCATTGAGTGTTTCAGCTCTTCCTGTTTTTCCATTCATAATTCTGGTTATTGGCTTAACTCAACCCACAAGTCCTTCTATAAAAGCTGTTGTTTTTATTTATTGAAAATATGTATATACTACATTTCACTGAAATTGCTTCCATGTTCATTTAAAATTATATAAACTAATAAACTTGAGATAAAAATACAGGCACTAAACAACCCAGAATACCAAATAAAAACAGCAGATTAAAAATCCAAAAGGTCAGTATCTTAAATGCTTGGAGGAGTAAAACCCCGCTGCTGCTGCTGCCTCCCCATGTCTGAAATATAACAAGGTCAGCTTCGGGTGAAATTACTAGGGGACAGCATTCTATAAGTGGGGTGCCATAACTGAACAATGCCCTTTATTTGGTTGACATCTGCTTCACATCTGTGACAGAAGTTCTTGTACTTTTTTAGATAGTTTGCCCAGTGACCAGAGGTTGCTTGTTAAAGTATTCCTATTAAAGGCCTCTCAACTAGCTAAACAGCATATCAGTACTGAGAACTTTCCAGCTGACTGAACTGAAAATAATTTGGGGTTCTATTGTGCTATGCTATTATACTTGGCTATTATTCACTACTGTTCAGTCTTGGAAGGCTTGGAATACAGTCTTTCTTTAAAAGGCCAAAATGATGTTAGGCTCAGACAGATGAAATCCTTAAGCAAGTCAAGCAGGTCTCCTTGGTATTAAACTTCATCTCCCTTGATCATTCCTAATCATCTGTAGCTTACCTTACTAGTCTCACATAAGCACATCTGTACAGCAACCACATAAAAAATGGGTTGTTTAACTGACTTTTCCAGGTGATCTTCTGTGTAATCCCACAATCCACACTCCTTCCCCACTGCACGCTTGTAGTTTGACTGTCTGAGTTGTGGTGGTTAAGAAGGAACTGAGTTAGAAGGTATTTTTATGCCTTTCATGACATGCACACATGGGGACTTCCCTCTTGAGGGATGGGGCTAGAATGCCTACTCCATTTTTCTAAATTCTAGACGTTTCTAAGATATTGCTCTGTGCTAGCACAGCTTCCATGTGTGTGACTGCATTGAAGATCACTTGAAGAACATCAGTTACAGGTAAGAAACCTGTCTTGAAAACCTGTTGTTATTTTGGCCTTCCCAGCATTTTCAGGACGAAACTGGGGGCTGGTGTGCCCCTCCTCCCTTCTGCATGAGTGAAGGTGAGGGAAACCATTGGTTAAGGGGAGTGGGAAGCAAGCCTCGTGCTCTTGAAGAAACTCTGGAAGATATCTCAGCTGGCCTGCACATGCTGATATCCCATTTGTGTGACTGCACAGAGAGCCACTCAGATTATCAGATACAGGTATGTGCAGCTGAAAGAGTTAAATTAAGGATAATAAATTAATTCAGTAGTCTCTCTGCTTATTGCTGACAGACTTGCTTTCTGTCTGTGCCTGGCTTCAGAGAGATGTGTTTTTCCTGATGCTGAATCATTCACAAATATCACAGTTACTTTATAATAGATTCCCATAGATGATATTTAAGACAATTATTAACAAAAACAAATTAAGACAGTTAGTGAAAGAAAATAATACCACAGTATTCTGATAAAGTTTAATGTAGGTAAAGAAAGTAAAACAAAACACCCATTATCAACACAGCCTTGTGCTAGCACAAGTCGCATCCCCCCCCCCACACCAGTATTTTCTCTTTACTTTTATAATTTTACACTTGAGCATGATACGTGGTTATTGTTTGCCGTACTTTCCTCTTTTGATTCCAGTTGTTCATGTGTGTTTATATTTGCAGACATCTTGTTTTTACTGCTATGGTTCTAGAGCAATTTTCCAACTTGTTCTCTATGATTTAGACCTGCCTGGGGCATGAATTTTATTGAACAAAACTAATTTTCTTGTCATATTTTCTTTTCTCCATTTCATGCTATCTATCAATAATAAACCAAGATGAAATTTTGATTCAGGGTCCCCTTCAGTTTATATAATATGATTATTGACTTAAAATGAAACTTTCCTGCATATGGAGCCACTTCATAATTCTAGTTTTTTGGGCTCTTGGACTGCTATATAAAAAATGACTCTGACAATCTAGAAGCTGATCATTCCTGGTTCCTATGTCTAGAAGTTCTCTGTGCATCTTTTTCCCTTGTAGAGACATTGTATGAAATTAATTGGCAGCAGATTCAAGGCAGACTTAAGTAAATAATTCAGACTACATCTAATGTATGGAATTAACAGCCAGAAGATGAGGGAATGACCTCTGGCTTAGTTGGCATTAGACAAATTTGTGGAAGAAATGTCTTTCAGTGGTTATCAGTCTTGCTGAACTAAACAAAGTTTTTGTCTGATTCATCAAGGCTCTTCTTTTAGTCTTATATTTTTAATAGGTGAAGTTGAAATACATACATTTGAAAGCTTCAGTGGAAGCACATGAAGGAATAAAAGATGAATAGATAACTTTTCCAAATGCCACCCACCTAGCCAAGTTTCATCTCTTATTTATTTAAATGAAGAAAAGATGGAACAGGAAGAAATTGTCCAGTACAAATACCAAAGACTTGGGATGAGGGAGAGAAAAACAATAGCAAGTTTATCCAACCTGGTGCCCTCCACATGTTTAGTGTTCAACTCCTAAACAGCATGGTTAGTGGTCAGGGATGCTGGGAATTGTAGTGCCTAGTTTGGCGGCACCAAATTAGAGAAGGGTGGTCTAGAGTGTTGAATCATATCTCCTTTAAGTACTTGGAAGAAAGGGTATTCATTTGGAGTAAGTAGAAATGTATGGGCACTACACTATGCCAATAATATTTCATGAAGAATATCAGTATAGGAATAGTCAGGCAAAGTACAGTGGATATAAAAGAAAGAACTACATAAAATGGCAAGAAATAATACGAGATAGGAAGAGCATGCTGATGAAAAAGTAGCACTAATCACAAACTTGAAATTCTAGTAACCAGATACCATTATGTTACTTCAGTCACTGTTACTTCTTAAGGTGACATTTATTTTCTTCTACCTTATTGAACTTGATACAGAAACTGCTAAGGGTGGTGGAAGGGTAGAAAATAAGGATCATATTAGAACTTAATTAATAAGCCAGTGTCTTAACAAGCAATAATTTTTCTTTCATTCTTTTGATCTGGGCTACCCTAATTTTAGTATTATGTGCTCTACCAATAAGTATTAAATTTAAAACAAGAGTGTACAATCAGCATAAAATGAGGTCATCTTAAGGACTGCCTTGCTCTGGGCAAACCTGCTCTTTTCCTGAATTTATCATCAGAGGTTGTGTTTAAGGGTTTTGTTGGTAAATAAATGGAAATAGTATTACTTGCTATCTTCAGCTACTGTTTGCTCCTGCAATTTTTATTCTTCTGTATTTTTCTTGCTCATTTTTGTGTCATGTTGCACTAGTTTTATATCCGGGTTCAAATCCTGGTTCAATATCCTCATCTTCAGTTCCCCCTGCCCCTGCAAATTCTTTAAAAAAAACCTTAGGTAGTAGAGCAGTACTGGATTTTCCAGTGGATTTTCTTAGTATAAGACATCTTTATCTATGTTCTCTTAGGAGGAGAAAAAACTCAACCAGTAGAAACACATTAAAAAGGACTTAACTAGTAATTACCACACATCATGAGAAGGCAGGACTCACTAAAGAAGACAATCATGCTAGAAAATGTCAGGCAGAAGAAGAAAAGGAAGAGCAAATATGAGATGGATTGACTCCATAAAGGAACCCATTCCCTTTAACTTAGAAGAGCTGAGTAAGGCTGTCATGGACAGGGCATTTTGGAGGGCTTTCATTCATGGAGTCACCATAAGTTGGGAACAACAGTGCATAACAAAGAAGTCATTTGCAAAGGCAATATTAGAGAAAGTTATTTATTCTGAAAACTCACAATAAGATTTGAGGATAAATCCAATATAAAATTCCCATTTTCAGATTTGGTGGAATGTGTGAACAAGAATTGGTCCGTGTGGCTTAGTGTATTAAAAAAGTTGAATTTGGACAGAGCCAAGTCCCACTTTGATCAAATCTAGTCCCAGGGACTGATGGCATACTTGTAGTCCAGACATATTTTCTCAACTTTTCCTCTCCGTATATGCAACAATAAGATAGGTACTGACTGCACCTGACTGTGGTATAGACAAAACCAAAAAATATTGCTAAGAAGTAGTTAACAAGGTGATTTGTGAGGTGTGTTAAATGTAAAATTAAGGCACCTCTTTGTATACATAGTCAAAAGTATAGTCAAGAGAATGAAAATATAAAGAATTAGATTAAGCAATAACACAAGTACTGTATTGTTTTAATTGGTATGAACTATTGTGGAAAAAACAAACACTTTAACAGTGGCTTTGCCTAGAATTTCTGTTTGCAGAATTTATGAAGCCACAGATTTCTCACATGCTGCAGCTCATGACGAGAAAGATATTTAAAAGGAAAGCCTAGTGAGTAGAACGGTGGTGTACACATTGTGAAGTGAGATAGAAAAATAAAGATGTCAACAGCTATAGGAAATATTCATAATATATACATGCATAATATATACATAAAACAAGAAGTGAATTCAGATCTCTATTTGATTATGATATTAGAACTGCTCGATAGCTATTATCTTTTCTAGGTAAGTCTTCATTGTCATTTTTCTCATTGTGCACAGGAATGCTTTCAGTTTATACTGCCAGCCCTACCTCATGCCATTGACCTTTTGCGGGATGCCATTGTTAAAGTAAAAGAGGTACATGATGAACTTGAAGATCTACCTTCACCACCACCACCACTTTCTCCTCCTCCAACCATCAGCCCACACAAGCAGACAGAAGACAAAGGTGTACAGTGTGAGGAAGAGGAGGAAGAGAAAAAAGATAGTGGAGTTGCTTCAACAGAGGATAGTTCCTCCTCGCATATAACTGCTGCAGCCATTGCAGCTAAGGTGAGTTGAGGTCCTGTGCAAAGGAGCACATCAGTTTCTATCTCAGGTACTTTCCCAAAAAAGTTACCTTTTAGGAACACATTTGATGTGTCAACCTGTAGTTTCAACAATAAAAGGTCTCAGTGTTTAATCATAAATTTTTTCTCTATATATAACATAATTTTCCTTCATTTTTTCATTGCATCAAATACAATGATTTAAATCTAACCATGTCCAAGCCATGCATTTTTGTCAGTTTTCCTCTCCTGCTGCAGCACCATGCCGCACTGAACTCCATTCCTGGGGCTCTTGCAACATCAGGAGCAGTTTTTCAATGGGCTTAGAAAGCAGCCAAGGTGGGGAAGGGACAGGTAATCCCTGCTGCATGAATCCAATGTTTCTTAGGTTTCAAACCATTCCTTTTCATTCAAACCACCAATTATGCAGCAATGTTGTAGTTCTGGTAACTTTAGATTATTAATCATCATGTAATTATATCTCTGCAGTAGATGCCTTTGGAAAGTCACCACAGACCCCACTGGGTGAGCAAGATGGGAGCTGGATTGAGTGAAAGGATTTGCATAATAACAGCAACTACAACAGTCAAGATTGCAGTTGCTTTTGTGAATCTTTAGATTCAGATGTGACCTGAGCTTGCAGCCCAAACTTCTGAACATCAGTTTTCACTTTTACAAAATCAGTGAAATTTAAATAAACTTTATTGACATAAATATCTTCGTATATGTGAAGAATTAATTTTTGCTAAACATCCTTTCATCCAATTAAAATAGTAGTGCAGAGTTTGACCCAAATTTTGAAATATCTGAGCCCTGGAAAACTAGAGTTGAACTCTACAGTGGGGACCCTGTAATGCAATCTTATTCCTGTCTAGTCAGGGATAAATCCATTGAGTTCACTGGAACATCATTCCAGGTTAGCATGTGTAAGATTGTAGCCAAAGTGTCTGGGGGAAAGCAGTGATTGCAGTGGTTGCAGTGATAGCCTGAAACCTATTACTTCTCACTTTATTAAGCTTGCACTCCAACTGAAAATATTAAAATCAGGGTTCAGAGTCTTCAAATCATCTCTACGCTGTAATTGTTTTCTACATGTGTAATATTTCTCTTAAAAATATATTCCACATGAGTGAAAACATGCTGCAGTCAGTCTTTTATCACCAGTGGAAGCTAAATTTGTATTCATAATTCATCATGTTGTTTTGTGAGATCATGGCCTCACCACTCCTAGTTACAGAGATGTGAAGTTTCCTTGTCAGCACAATCCAGGCAAGGAAATTATCAATATGGTTGTTGTTTTTTTATGGCAGCATATACAGGTCCTTTTAAAGTACTGAAGTTAAGTGATGTAGTAAATTGTAATCTGGTTGCTACCATGTTGGGGATGCAGCTGTGCCCACTGGAAGTCTTGGGCTATTCCACAAACAAATTATGAATCTCTTGTAAGACTTGTAGCTTCTAGTACTTCATCTGGTAGAGAGAAGCAGGAGGCTGAGGAAGATAACAGTTTATACCTCTATCCCCTGACAGGGAGGAAGGTTGATGGATCAAGTACGCTTTAATTCCCTTCCCTCCAGATTTGACACCATGTGAGTAGTAGACAGAGGTTTCAGGTATGGGTCATTGGATAAGACTCTACTCCTACAGGTGTGCCATACTGCAAGGAGCTACAGTTATACTACACATGAACTCTCCCAGAAAGTTTTGAAATACTAGCAAATGTAAAAAGAAGAAAATACCTGAGATCTAAACTGGTTGTGTTCATTTAAACACCCTACATTTAGATATGCCACCTGTTTTCACCCTTGTTCCCTCTGTCATTTTGCTTGTTTAGTTTTATGTTTTTCCTGTCACTATATTCATAGCTGTTATGTATTGTACATTAGAAGCATCCATCCTACACCAGTTCTGCTGTTATCATGGCAAAAGGTGAACATCCCATTCCTGGTCTCATCTGTTATTCCCATCACGCAGCAGGCAGTGCAGGAGAACCGGTAAGACATACCACCAGAGGGTTTTGCACTAATAACTGCAGTCATACTGCCATCTCCTTTCTGTGTATATGGAAGAGGTACAAATGATTGTTCTAATCACAGTAACATACCATGTTGCTTTATGAGCAAACTGTTTCTAAATTGCCCATCTGTATGTTGTTATCAAGTATGTAGCATTTAAGACCATTTCTTACAGCTATTAAGTATTGATTTTAAAATGTTTGTCACTCCCAGATTGAAGCATTTTGCATTGGTTTAGAGCAGGATTGAGTAATTTGTTTAGTATTAAAACAGCCTTGGAACTTGTTGACTTCACATATCATGGTACCTCTGTTATCATGAGACTAGAAGGCTGCTTTGTCATTGAAACGCATCTTGGTAGCTGCATCTACATTTCAAATTGCTTGCCCTTGGATTACAGGCAAATATTTCTGGTAGATGCTGTTACTGATTATCCAATGCTGATATTATTCTGTCCAGTTCCAGTTCTCCTCTTTGGTTTTGTTTCAGAAAATGAAACCGTAGAAAGTATCTAATTTGCCTTTTGTATATGTGTTAGTGTCCCCTCCTTAAATAAGCAATGAATGATGGTTTCAAGTGAACATAATGTTGCCATTTAGTAAGGCATCAAATTTCTCTGCCATACCAGAAAATAGCTTCCCCACATTACAGTTCAAGTCTGTACAATAACTTCTAACTCTGAAAATCAGTATCTGACAGTGTTAGAAAGCTGGGGTTCTAAACACCAGTAATTGAATTTAATCACTAGACTTCAGAACTTTGTCCTTTCCTGTGTATATAGTATCTAGCGATAGTGATGAGGAAATGAATGTCTCCATCTCTACTGCCAGGTCCCTATGCATACAGGAAACAGCTGGGAAGGTATGGAAGTGATAACAGGAGAGTGAAGATTTCCTTCCCATTGACCTTTGCCTTCTCATTTACAACTCCTAAGATATAAGACAGAGGGAAAGGGACAGACTCTTCCCTACTACTACTGTACACACACACACTGCTACCTACCTCTTGGTGAGATACAGATGGCAGAAGGAGAGAAACAGAGCAGGGAAAGATAGGGAAGTGAGGAAACTGCATTTCTCAGTACTGGCCCTAGAGTTATTGGGGAAGGGTTGGAACACAAGGTATGATGGAACAGTCTCCTCTCCCCTTTTCCCAAAGAAGTGTTTCTGCACAATGGACATACAAAATATTTTACTACACTTTCCACAAGGATAATATTAGCTTGAATAATTCCCATGGTAACAACAAGTTTTCTTTTACCTGCATGCTTATTCAGCCAACAAACCCCATCAGCTGCACTTCCCTTCTCCTTGTCTTCTTCTGGAGCCTGAGATAAATTAATTTCCTTTCAGTTTAGTAAAGATAGCTGCTGTAATGCTAGGGTTTCTGTAGATCAACACTTCATTAATATTTCCACCCTTCTGTAAATATTATAAGCCAACTTATCAGGGCCTTGTGCACAGGTAAGAAGAAGCAAGAGGTCAGTTTCTTGCTTCCCTTCACCCATGAAAAAATTCTGCTGTGATGCGCCTCCCCCTTCAGTGTTCACATGCAGATAGATAAGAGAAAACCAGAAATTGCAGCAGATTGTGTGTCCTTGAGTTCAAGATGATGTTTGCAGACTCAAATCAGTGACTAGTAGGAGCTGCAGGTATCAGATTACACATAGAATACTGGGACAAAGAAGTAATGGCTCACCCCTATTTCTGAAAACATGAAAGCTGGCTATAACTCATACCCATTTCTTGACCTGGCAGAAGCACACTGATTCCTGAGCTATGTTTGTTTGTATCAAGAAACAATATTCGCAAATTTAATTTTGCTCAAGCAATGCAACATTATATTCTTTTAATTTAAAATCTTTAAATTTGCAATTATGTATATGTTTCTTAAGGAAGGTTTGCTGTTTGTATAATATTCCTTTCTTTTTCTTTCTCCTGCAATTTATTCCAAGTTACTAAGAAGTCAAAATCATGTGTAATGTTTTGTGACATTTTGGTTGGTTAGGTCTTGCCTAATGTTTGGTTGGTCCTAACTGGTTAGGTTAGTTGTTGCCTAACTTTAATTTAATTTTTTTCCATACTTTCTAGAACAGAATGGTCATTAAAAGGACTGTGAAAATACAGTTCTTTATATCTTGATTCTGTAGGGCTGGTGGAGACTTCATGTCCCTATATTCAACTGCAAACAGCCTAGCCAACATGATACTGTTCAAGAATCTCAGCATTTGTGATCCAAGGAAAAGTGCTGTATATTTCATTTATTTATCACAAGAAGGCAGCACATTCATGGAATAAATTCTCTATTTCAAAAAGGAAGGTTATTTCCAAAGTAATTTAGTTTCAGGAAACTCCAAATTTTAATTGCATAAAAAACCACAGAAATTATAGAGGAGCATCAACTTTTTCAGGGAAGTGTTATCATCTACTCTTAAATTCCAGAATTTTTTATTTTTCACAGTTTCTTAACCTAATAAAAATGAAATTCTTTCTGGGAGGGAAGAAGCACATTTAGAAATATAAAATCCATTTGTCACAGGAAGAGAACAAAACATGTGAGGGTTAAAGGTCATTAAAGTTTAGATTATGTAACTGCCCCATGTGCTCAGATTTAGAAGTCATTTAGAAGATTTATTTTTGTTCCTTTAAGATTTAAAGAGTCCTTCTTTTTCAAACTGCTTTCCTGTTTATGTTGTTATACCCCTTTCTTCCTTTGTTATCAACATATATTCTGTTGGGGTTGATTCCTCACTTCTGAATTTTATTTCTAAAGAAACAGGAACTAAAAGCCTTATTATTAGACTGAGGGTAAAACTGAAATTTAGAGTTTTAAAAAAGTGAGTGCAACCAGCATAGTAGAATGACTAGAGTGTTGGATTGGGACTCAGGAGATCAGGTTTTAGTCCTCTCTGGGTGACTTGAAGCCAGCCACTGACTCTTGGCCTAGCCCACCTCACAGGGTTATTGTAAACAGAAGAGGGCCATGTAAGCCTCTTTCCGATTCTTGGAAGAGAAAAACAGGATAGAAATGAAATCATAATAATAATGTTCATGGTAAAGATGGGAGCATCTTTAGGCTTATTTACCCAGGGTACATTTGCACAAAGCTGCTGTTAGAATCTACTCGTATGCATGACTGAAGTTATCTTAAATAAATAATGAAATTCTGCATTCCATGGTTGGTGTGCGTTACAAGAGCTTGAATTACCTCAGTAATGCTGTATTATTTTAAATCAAATGAAGGCTATTTAATGTGCAGTTTAAAGAGATTAGACACTGTTCCTATTGACTCCACAACAATAATAATAAAAAATAATATAGTGAAGATTAAAAGAATAGAGAGCAAGCTCTCCTCTGGTTATCTTGTTCATCCCCCAAATTCTGAGCCACTCAAGATTCAGAACACTGACCCTTTAGTCAAAATTGGCCCACTTACCAAGTTCAAAGTCTTCCTGTGGTAGTTGCCTCATACACACAATTCGCATATAAGGGACAGATTTTCAAGGCCCCTCCCTTAACAAATAAACAGAATTTGTTCTGTTGTTTTGCCTAGCAGTTGAAGGATTGCCCCAGGAGAACTGCCGCTGAGAGTGTCAAAGCTAACTCCATGCTCCTTACCTTTGAGGGAAAAGGATCCTCCACAGGACTGGGTCTTTCTCCTCAGCAACAGTTTCCCCACTCACAGCTCTTCATGGTTTTGGTGGGAAGTATTCTTTACCAAAGTACTGACTTCTAATAAATTTGGGGGCTTCTAAGGCTAACTATCTTTTGGAACAAATTGTTCTGGCAAATTTCTCCAGCATCTCTGTTAAATAATGCCTTATATTTATGCTGATGAAATTTTAGACTATGAAATGTTACTGATAGTTAATGTGTACTGCGGATCACAAAACATATAAAGATCCCACTGTACATTTTATAGCGAGGTGAGTATTTGTTTCCCATACTAGTTGATTTAGGGTTGCTGATATATATCAAGGCCATTTTGTAGACATGACAGGTCTGCTTATAGGCTTGCTCAAAAACATGTTGGTTTTTGGTTGTTGGTTACTTGGTTTATCATGGATTTGGACATGTAATGAGATGAAACCCTGGTTGCTGATTTATTGATGTTAAAGTATTTATAGCCTAGCATTCTGCTTGGCAGTAGGTCTCCAAGGTAGTTGACAATAGGTGAAAATAAATTGATATGAATATTTATTTTGGAGGCGGGTAATGGATTAAGCTTCTGGGGAAGTGGTGGTATAGATATCTACCCCTCTGATCTTAGTTATTACTGTTGCTGGTGTAGCTGTTCCAACTATTAGTCTTTCAAAGTTCCATGTTGATTAGGAGAATTCGCTCCACCCTGAAGTGTGGTACCTGGCCAGGTGACACCAAATGTTTTGGTTTGGGAGGGTGGAAAATCAACTGGGCAACTGATTATGCCACAGCTCCTGACTTTTTCTTGTCACAAAGGTTGATTGTGAGGATGGTGCTATAAAATGTCCAGTCCCCAAATCTTAGATTTTCCTTCCCCTACAGCTGTTCCTTAAGTCGTGGTTTTAACCAACATGAGGTCTAAAAGTCTTAGTATTAGGATGACTGAATGACCATATTTCCAGTACAAGTCTGTTTTTTTTTTTACCTGAGATCATCTCATGAGGAGCTTCTTTACCTGCCTGCAGCTTAAGTAGTCAGCAACAAGAAATATGGTATTTTCTGCAGTGGTGGCAAGGATGGATGGATCACTCTAAATTTGGTCCATTTCATTTTCATAAATCTTCAGCGTAAGGCTCATTACATCCTCTTTCAACAACATTTCATTTTCATTTAATTAATTAATTGCAAAAAGTCTATTGTTAAAAAACTACTAAGCTGCTTGCAGTTCTTCAAGCTGGTCAAAGAGCTGCCTTTTGATTGAAAATACTTTTTCATCCAGATGATAACTGTTCCAAACTACTAGAAAGCCCAAGGTTGCAACTGTCCCTGGAGTGACAGAAGTCATATATTCCAGGGAATACATACAACAAAAGATGTTTGCTCCCATATACCCATGGGCAGCCTGCAGCCAACTTTTTCCATACAATGTCCCCATGAAAGCAGCCATGGGTGGGGTCAACTAGTGTCTTACCCAGAGTGGCATATACCAGCAGAATAGATTCCCAGTATTTGTCTTGAAGGAGACTTTCAAAGCAGTTGTGGGGTAGTGGAGATGCAAGGACTCTGAGGAAGACAAATAGGCAAAGATCTGTTGCATGAGCAGAGCCAGATGTTCACTGTGGGAGCTCAGGTATTGCACAATTAGATTCATTGAAATCTGAGGAGGAGGCTGAGAAACATGTGCCATGTGAACAGGCATGCTGTCGTGAAGAAGCAACACACCTGCGGTCAGTTTTCTCCACCTTTTTTTCTTTAGTTGCTTCTCTTAAATTACGCAGAGTGGTTGCGTAAGATGCTGCATTTATGGTTTCACCTTTTTTCGTGTACTTGATCTATAAAATTCCCTTTGAGTCCCAAAACACTGTGCCCATGATTTTTCTGGCCGATGGAGTGACTTTAAATTTCTTCGGAGGGTCAGCACCATTTTTATGCCACTGCATGGACTCCTGCTTACTTTCAGGGTCATAGTGATGAACCCAGGTTTCATCTCCAGTAACAGTCTGGTCAAAAATACTCGATGGATCTTCACTACAGAGCTCTAAAAACTCCCTACAGCACTCAACTCACACTTGTTTCTGAGGCACCATGAGCATCCGCAGCACCCATCTTGCACAGACCTTTGAAAGGTTAAGATGGTCATGAAAAATAGGAAATATGGTACCAATGGATAGGTTTGTCATCTCTGCTAACATTTTGATTTTTATTCGGGCATCTTCCAATACAAGTTTCTCAATTTTTTTCACATTTTCTTTCGTAGTGGCAGTAACCGGCCCGCCTGAGCGAGGGTCATCTTCAGTGCTTTCTCTGCCCCTTTTAAATCCACTTGACCACTTTTGAACAGTAGATAATGAAGGTGCAGAGTTCTCGTAAATGGCCACCATCTCTTTGTGAATGATTTTTTTGACATTTTCCGTGTTTTGTAAGGAACTTAATCACAGCACGGTACTCGATTTTCTTCAACATTGTCACATCAGTCATCATGGTCGTCTTTCACTGAGGATTACTAGGGAACTAATGATCACACTTATTTGAAATTTTGCATGTATGCCCTCAGATAGTGTCATTAGCTAATGAAATAATTAAATTACCCACATCAATAGCAAATCAACCCAATACCGAGAATACATTGAATGCCCCTCGTAATGTTTATATTATTTATTTATTTAAAACTTTTGTATACCATCCCATCACAAACATCTTGGGACGGTTTACAGCAACAACAATAAAATAGAATACAGATAAAAGTAAGAGTAGCACAGCATATCAATAAAATTAATAAAAAATAATAAAATCTGACTGAAGGGATTGCAAATGGATTCAGAGACCCAAGAAGCATTTTACAGTTGGGGTGGAGAGTTAAAGTGGTCAAGATGTAAGGAGTGTTGCCTGCTTTTTAGAACCTCCTTTATAACTGGCTATTTAATCTACAAATAATAAAACTACAGATTGTCCTGAAAGTAATCTAAGCATCAAGATTGACTTATAAATCCTATATGTATTATTAATAGTTATTTGATATATTTATTACGTGCCTGTTGTTATATGTTAGCCAGACAAATAAGCTGTATCAAGAGACAAAAATAAAACAACATACATAGACATGAATATTCTTCTGCACATGCATGTAGGCGCACATGACAAAACACCAACCTTTCAGTATAGTTTAATCATAGAGAAGGGTAGTGGCTGTGGTTGCAGGGGAGGAAGAAAGAACAAGATGGGCAGGGAAAGAGAAGAGAGCACATTACATGTCCATTTTTGTTTATGCTCCTTCCCCTTGCCATTAGAGATAGAACTCTAGAATAGTTGACTTGTGGTGGAGGCATTTTACCCATTCAGGTTTTAGTTTCCTATGTTTTTAATTGATGTATGTGTTGAGCCTATTTTGCAATCTGTTAACAGCACAATTTACCCAGGCCTAGCTAAGACTAGCACAGACTTTTATTTAATTATCCAGTAGCCTGTCCATACTTAACTAGCAATAAGCCCTTATTTATTTATTTATTTCTTATTTTATTTATTACAAACATTTATATTCCGTCCTTCCAACAAGCACTCAGAACGGCTTACATAATATGAAAGTACATCGTATAATAATAAAACTTCAGTTATTAAAACAATAGAAAACAATGCATCATAAACTTAGAGAAAAGAAAAGGGAGGAAAAGAATAGAAAATGTGACTGTGGAGAGAGAGAGAAAAAATCTTAAAACATCTAAAACCCTCGATTATTAAAATGATGGTTGAATAAAAAGGTCTTTACCTGGCACTGAAAAGAGTATAACATCAGCACCAAGTGAACCTCTCTGGGGAGCACATTGCATAGTCTGGGTGCACTGCAGAGAGGGCCCTCCTGCAGGTAGACACCCTCCATATGTCCTTCAAAGAGGGTTCCCAGAACAAGGACTGCCCCACTGATCTTAAGGGGCATGAGGGCATATAGGGAAGGAGGCGATCCTTCGGGTATTCTGGACCTAAGCTGTTCAGGGCTTTATAGTTAATACCAGCACCTTGAATTGGGCCCAGGCTTCAATTGGGAGCCAGTGTAGCTGATAGAGGATCAGCGTTATATGAGAATAACGACCGGCCCCCCTCAGCAACCTGGCAGCTCTGTTTTGTACCAAGTGAAGTATCTGGACCATTTTCAAGGGCAGCCCCACGTAGAACGTGTTACAATAATGCAACCAGGAGGTTACCAGGGCATGTATCGCTGTTGTTAGGCAGTGTTCGTCCAAGTAAGGACACAGCTGATGGACCCGGCAAAGCTGGAGGAAGGCACTCTTCACCACCGCCATCACCTGGATTTCCAGGGATAGCTCTGGGTCAAGGAGCACTCCCAAGCTGCAGACCCTGTCCTTTAGAGGGATTGCTACCCCATCCAGGACAGGGCCAAAATCACTTACCTGAAAACCCAAACAGCCCATCAAAAGGATCTCCATCTTACCTGGTTTGAGTCTCAGTTTATTGGCCCTCATCCAGCCCTCAGCCAGGCACTGGTTCAGGACAGCCACTGCCTCACCTGGGTTAGATGTAAACAAGAGGTAGAGCTGCATGTCATCAGCATACTGATGGCTCCACAACCCAAACCTCCTGATGACCTCTCCCAGCGGTTTCATGTAGACATTGAAGGGCATGGGGGACAGAATACATAGACCCCTACTAGAACCCTTATGAACTCAGTATGATTTAATTTTGTCTAAACTTGCATAACTAACTAACTTGTGGACTTAGATTATAAGCCTGCTCTATTTCAAATGGCAAAGGAGGCTATAAATATTAAATTAAGAATGCATTTATAAAGAGATCTCATTTGTACAGAAAAGAAAATGTCCATGATTAGTATAGAATGGCAGGAAAGCAGAACCTCACTTTTCAGGGTGCAACTCTGAAGTTCAACTCTCTCGCCCCTTCTTAGCTCCTCTCTTGGCTGCTTAACATCAACTTTTGTTCTCAAGGCATAGCAAGGAGGCTTCTTCTGGAAGGTTCATAGGGAATCAGCTGACATCTTCTTTATCAATCTGTATTGAGTACTACAGTACTTTTTTTCTCCATCATTCAGTGTCCCTGAGTAGATGCTGTGTGCAATACATAAAGTTTATAGTACTACCAGATTAATTGTGAGAAAGAATGGAGGGAAGATACTATTCTAGGTTACTTTGAAAATAAATATTTGGATATTGAACTATTTAATAATTCAGTAAAAATTTCTGACCAATCAACTCAATTTATTTTTATGTTTAGATTCCAGATTCCATCATATCTCGTGGTGTTCAGGTGCTTCCACGAGATACCGCCTCACTTAGCACTACTCCTTCAGAATCTCCTCGTGCCCAGGCCACCTCTCGCCTCTCCACTGCTTCCTGCCCAACACCAAAAGTAAGTACAGTACTGAGCCAACACTCAAAGCTGGGATGCATAATTTGTCTGATGCCTAAATGACTTGTGCTGCTCAAGGTTAGCCTGCATGCAAGGTTATTCTGGTAAGAATGATAAATGAATGAAAGCTAGTATAGCTCATTTGTACATATGTTTTTTACCCAAGCAATATTGTGATAACAAGTAAGAGGTTATGAAAGGTCTTCTTCTAAATTGCTACTGTTGTATTAAACCACTACTCTTCAGCCTGCTAGTCTATGCAAAAGCTTCTCATACTGAAAATGATTTTCTTTTTCTTTATTGGAGATAATTTTAAATCTTTGCAGTGCTTTGCTTACCAAGGAAAGTATAGATAGCCCTGCCTCTCAGTAATAGAACTAGATTAATAGTATGCTTTCTGTAAAGGCAGCTTCGCCTCTTTGAGCTGTGGTATTTCTCCAGCTTACCATTTTCCACCTTATTATCATATATAAAATTCTTTCAAGCTAAACAGTTTTGCCTAACTTAGATACTTGCTGCCTCCTTTTTGGAAACTCTAAATTATATAGAAATTTTTAATGCCAACCTTTGAGATGACTAGTCAGTATTTTAGGTATTATTTTACACCAACTTTACTGATGCAGGTGATTCAAGTTGTTTGGAATAATACTCAGCATGATATAGTAAAGTTGGACAAATAACAAAACCAGTATAAATTATCATGACGTCTTCAGAACATGAATTCTTCATCTTTGTTCAATTGATGCTTCTCATATCACAAAACTTTTCCTTCTGACATATTGAATATAACCATTAACAGTTTAAGGAGGTGTTAATTTAGTGAAACAAGTATTCCATTTTATTTAACTAATCATGGATTTCAGAAATTACTTTGCCTCTTCAAATTATTGCAAGTTTCTAATGGTTAATCTATCTGTTTATTCCATTCATTTTCAGTCCACAGGTTATACTAACTATACCCATTGAGCTATCTTTAACTGTTTGGGCATTTATTATGAATTATACAACTATTGCTTAACAGCATAAAATATGCTTCATGTGGAGGCTTGTTTAAACCTTTAAAGTTTAATTGTACTTGAATTTGTTTCTACCATTAAGGGCTTTTTCCCAAATCAAGATATTGTTCAAGAAACCCTTATTGAAAGAAAGTCTTGAAGTTTAATAAACTTGAATTGATAAATAAAAACTATAGGTTTAGTTATTGAGGTCTGTGCCTTAATTTCTCTGTGTAGAAAAAAGCATCTTAGTAGAAAAGGTGCAGTTTTTAGAAACTGAGTTTAAGCAGAATTTTAATGTTTCACATTTATTTGTCTGTTGCTGTTACTCAGAAAAAATAAAATCAGTGAGACACATGAAAATTTGCATTGCCAAATGGTTACTTTCAAAGGAGGATACCATAAGGAAAGTTCACACAATTAAAGCAAAATGAATTTTGAATGCTTTGCAGACTATTATATCTGGTCTGAAAAAGTAACTTTAGCCATGCTAAAGTATTGTTTTCAGAGAAAATTACACAAAAAATCTAAATGGGAAGATGGAATGGCTGATACTTTTTGTAACCAAGGACCACAATTCCCTTGTATGAGGATTATTTCTTGCACGACTAGAAGTATTTCAAAACAAATTAGAACGCTTGCACTCAAACCTTTTAAAACCCATTACTGTTTTGTTATTAATTAATGAAACAGACAACCCAGTCTCTTTCCCCTAAATCAAATGCAACAGTAATCATAAAAAGCTTAATCAGATGCATCCATCCAGTTACTGTCTGTTCCATCTGGTAGTAGCTCTTCATGGTCTTAGACAGAGGACTTCCCCATCCCTGCTGTCTCAGGTTTTTTCCCAACTAGAACTGCTGCAATTCAACCTCCAACTTCCTGCATATAAAAGTAGTTAGTAACACTAAACTAAGAAAGTCACCAAGTCTTTTATACTACTACATGATTCCTGTTTTCCTTTCCTTCCAGTTCTCCTGCTGACTTAAAAACTATGTACTCTTAAATTGTCAAATACCAGCCTGTTCCCAGAGTTCCCAAACCTATGCACATGCACATGTCTGTCTTTTGATCTGGACCCAGCACTGAATTTCTAACCACCACCACCACCCTCACACAGCTGGGAGAAATAGCAAGTATGGCTGGGAAAGAGAAAGTACAGACTGTATTTAGGCTCTGGTGTAAATAGATCCATGATTCAAGGGTCATACTGGAAAAGTTAGGAAAAATTTAGACTTGGTCAAATAAACCAATTTTCTTCTTTTGGTAGGTGCTCAAATACCCCACCACATATATATGTATTCCTTGTAAATTACTAAGGACAGTGAATACTTTCTAAAAAAAAAAACCCTTTCTATCATACTAGAGCAGGGGTCTCAAACTCAACTTACCTGGGGGCCGCTGGAAGTAGAGTCTGGGTGAGGCTGGGCCGCATCAAGTATTCCACCACCACAGTGGGGGTGGGCTGCTCATGCTGCGGCCCGCCCGGGCGCCGCCGGCGCTTTCAAGGCCGCAGGGCCCCTCCCCCATGCCCTGCCCGTCCTGGCAATTGGCCCACGGGCCGCGAGTTTGAGACCCCTGTACTAGAGTAATGTGGTCTGTCTTCTACAATATCCTCTCTTAACTAGTAGCCAGTAAAAGCTGTTTCAGTGGTGGATTCAAAAAACCCAGTGGAGATGTCTTACAGACTTTTACAAAATACTTCTTTAAAATCTTTGTTGCTGAAAGCTAGATCCTTTTCACAAGTTGGGACAAGATTTTGAGTCTTCCAAATGTTCTAGTGGTTTATAGTTATTACTATTGAACTCTGAGCTTGGCTTGCCTACTCTCCAACTAGGAGTAGTGCCATATATAGGATTAAAATAGTAATATATTACTCCAGTTTTATGGACATGGGGTGCAACTCAGAGGAATAATCCACTTAAGAATTCCATTCTGGTTTACTTGGATGCTAGAATTCCCCTCATTGAACTGGATGGGTAATTCTGAGATTATATCAGGTGCTATCTTGTTATGTAAAGTTTAAATATTGTACTGATTGTATGGCAGATAGAAAATTACTACATCTGGAAGGTCCAGATTTTTCTTTTCTGTTTTAATTTTTATTATAAATGTTGAAGAAGTAACATCATAAGTTCCTAAATCTGTCCTAACCTGAGGGATTTAAGTCTTGTTAAAATCTTGGCTTATATAGGGAATAAATATGTGCAATTTTATCTCTTTGTTTCATTATACTTTCTTCAAAACTATATTTTGAGTAAACTATTTCAATTGTATATAATACTCAATTATAATAGCTACTTTTTTAGTAAAGGCACATGTTAGGTTTAAACAGGGCTTTTTTGTCATAGAACGCACCGGAACAGCATTCCGGCACCTTTTTTTGACGGATTTTTCCATGTGATTGTGAATCGCCCTGTCCCGGCGTAGCAGGTCGGCAGCAAAAAGCATTAAAATAGTGCCTGCGGGCTGCGTGTGTGTCGGCGCTGCTCAGCTTGGGATCGGTCGTGTGATCGCGCACTCAGTGCTTACTGCCGGCGGCGACCATTATGTTTATGTGTGTGTAGGGTGACTGACCCCAAGAGGTGAGTTCCAGCACCTTTTTTTTTTTTTTTTTTTTTTTACAAAAAAAGCACTGGGTTTAAAGGTATAACAAAATCCTCATCCTTTCAAGCTGTTGAGCATCCACTGCTATAAAGGGTGGAACTTACCGTCTTTGTTTAAAAAAGCAAGCCTGTTTGCAATTGTTAATTTAGTTTAATATTCTTTGCTTGAAGTAGAATTAGTTCATTAGTAGTTTAAGGGCCAGTTTATTCACGCAAACTAGTAGGAATCCTTCCTGATTATCCTTCCATACAGAATCACATGGAGAAATGTCAGTGTGAACTGGGCTGTAAATACATAAAGCCAGCAGTAGAAGGCAGTAATTTTCACTATCACAGCAGCTCTTTTTCCAGCAACCATTATCTGAGAAATCGCTGTTAATCACTGTTGGCAACATCTGTATACAGTTCAGTTCACACTTGTGTATCTCTCTCTAGTTCCACACTCAACAGACTTTTATGAAGAATATGTGGAGCAGGGAAAAGTAGAAAACTTACATGTGTGTATGGTTCCTGGAATAATTTGACTTCTGTCTGAAAACATACATATAGGCTGCCCTTAAAGGTGGAGTGTACTTATTAGGTTGAACTGGTTATAAAACTGCATTCACATGCCATCTTTGAAATCAAGTTCTTAATAAAAGCAATTTAAATGAAATCACAACTGTGTGTGCATGTGCTTATGTGTATATATGATATCAATGATAGCTGAAGACATGAAAGATTTTCTAGGATGCTTTCTTAATAACTGCTGTAAAGGGCTAAGAGTTTCTAATAAAGCTTCTGGATTTCCATTCTGCTACACCAGTTTTAAACCAATATATTCATACTTCAGTGAGGCAGAAAAAAAGAGAATAATGCTCATTATGACTAAGCCTCTTTCTTTACTGTTAAATATTTGCACTATAGCTTACTTATCTAGCCAAAGGCTGTATCTAATTCTCATTTCAGAGAGCATGATGGGGAATTTAATTTGCAGAAGATTAAATTTCTCATCTTGTTGCTATTCTAACTTTAGGTAAAGAATGAGTTGCAAAGTTTGAGAATGATAATCAGTAACTAGGTCAAAACATTTCAGTTGTTTAAAAAAGTGAGTTCTTTGTTAATCACATTGTCTTGTCTTCTTCTCCCTTTACATTACATAGTGTGACCTCTGGACAGAATTAGTGAGGTTAATGAGAAGCAATCTGTTAAAAATAAGTACATTGTTTCCATGTTTTGATCCTAGCAAGTTATTATCTTCAGGCAAAAAAAGACTCTACAGCATCCCTTATATGCCCTAAATTGGCTTGGCCAAACCATTTTACCTTTCTGGTCATGTCCTTTACTGTTTTAACCCTTAAGGTATTGGTTCATATCTATAGAATATCCCAAATAAATAGAAAATAATAAAAGGGAGATA